TAAAATGGAGGTAGCGTGCCATTTCTGAAAAAAGGTTTGAATAGAGAATCCTGAAGGACAAAATGGTTTGCATTTGTTCGAGGATTTTAAATAAGTGAATTGACTTTTTTTGAGATGTATATTGCACTAAAGTCTATGATATAAGATCGAATACTCTGCGCTGACGATCCAAATGTCTCACGCACAATAAGACGAGGTTAGAAGTGCATCCACTCATCTTTTTCCATGTGCTTAAGGTTCGTGACACATTATGCATATCGAGTTTATTAAGTATCTTGAATTGATTTGAGAGAGAGGAGAGAAGACTCAAAGGGGCAAAGAAAAATCTAAGGGATCTCACACCTAAATGTTGTCATGCCAAATGGTCCTATAGTTGAGGATGAGAAAAAGAGTCATATCCTAATGTTGTAGCCCTAAGGAAAGTCTAACCTAAAATTCGTCATGCTAGAAGTTTTACCCTAAAGGAAATCTATGTTTCCGTTCGATTTAATCAAGCACAAGACATAATCAAATTGGACTAAAACAAATCTAAGGGAGCATATGAATCAATACAAACAATTAAACGCTTGCAAAAGGTGTCGCAGGAAAACATCAGACAATGCACGACACAAATAATCAACACGTGTGCATTAAGAAATTTATAAGAAACTGATAGTAACCTTGTGACTCGAATAATTAATCATAGATTTAAAATAAAAAATTAATCCCAGATTTAAACCATTAATTAATCACAAATTTATTCAAAATTAATATCAAGATCAAGTTCTTAAACAGGAATCAAAATTAAAATTATCATCACTAATCTAACTTATCCCTAAAATCTAACAGAGAAATTAATTTAAACTACCATTTAATCAACACATGAACTCAAAAGTCAAAATTAAATTAAATTAGTCAAAATAGCTAAAGAGAAAAAACATTTAAAAAAGGGAAGAAAATTAAAGTTGAGATGGGGTGTTAAGAAAGTTTGGTGGGTTTTGAAAGAAAAAAAAGGGTCGGACTATGATAAGTCCATCCGATCCACAATGAACAAAAAAAACTAACATCGATTTTCTCTCAGCATTTCCCTTGTACCCCTCGCACAACTACCTCTTTTTCAAACTACCATTCTTTCTCGTCTACACACATCAAAGGAAAGAGAGGAAAAACCTTTCCCCGAGCTTCTCTCTCTCTCTCTCTCTCTGATTGCATGATCCAGGAAAAACAACTGACTTAATCTTCAATGAAGTAGGAAACCACAAACCAATAAAAAAACTTGATTCCTTAGAGAACCTTGATAATAAGATGGTAATACCCTAACTCTATAATTCATGAAAGAACCAGTTGAATTAATCTTCAGTGAAGTAGAAATCATAGGCCAAATAGGAAACCCTAGTTCTTCAAACGACCTTGATCCCATGCTTTAGGATCTTATGCAAATGAATGATTATGAGTGTATGAACTAATGGACAAATGCATATGGTTGTGAATAAACATCCAGTTAGAGTTAGAAAGAGTGAAGGCAAATTTTGGGGTACAACAATATGAAATCAATCAGTATCCTCCAATTCGAGACTTTTCTGGTCGCTTTTCCACCTAGAAAGTCGCATCCATACAATTGAAAATTGCTTTGTGCAATTGAAAACCATGAGACGTAGCACATTTTTGATTCGATACACATGCATTTTAGTCCGTTTAATGTTCAATTTATGGTTTTATGTTTGTGCAATAGGTTTATTTCAAGTGTTTTCCAAATGGGAGTTTCCGTACGAGAAAACGAGATAAAAACAACAAAAGATGGAGAAAAGAACACCTCAACATGAAGAAAGTCAAAGAGGGACGCACTTTGAACTCATGGCGTTTGCCATGGGCCTTTTTAGACACGTCACCCCACTTTGAACTCATAACGTTTGCCATGAGACCATGGCATCCGTCATGGGCTTTGTGTTCAGAATTTTAGCAACCAACTTGCTTGGTCTTCTCCCACTCCAGCATGGTTTTAGCAACAATTCCCACGCGATTTCAACCCTTTTTCAGAGCCAAAAGCACTATAAATAGTCTTAGTTTTTAGGTTTTTGGCATCAAAGTTTATTAGTATCAAGTAGGAAGAAAAATTACTTATTGTAAAAGTGCTTAATTGCTCACATTGTATAATAATCACACGATTGTTTTAAGATTCTGCAAGTTTAATTTTGTACTTGGATCATTCATCGTTTAAGCTTGCCGCCATATAAATTCCGAAGTTTCTATTACAAGTTTTTCGATTCCAATTTTCGCACTGTGTTACTTTCAGTACGTATTTTTCCTCTTTATTTTTCTGCACTTTTAAGTCTTAATATTATAATTGTTATTTTCAATTGTTCTATTAGTTCCAATTGTCATTGTTTTGATTGCAAGTTCCACGTATTATCATTACCTACTAGTATCACATATCTATATAATTGAAATTAAAATCTTATACGTATTGTGCTTAAAATTATATATATATATATATATATATATATATCTATATCTATATCTATCTATATATATATATATATATATATATATATATATATATATATATATATATATATATATATATATATATATATATATATATATATATATATATATATATATATATATATATATATATATATATATATATATATATATATATATATATATATATATATATATATATATATATATATATATATATATGCTAGTTGTTGTTGCTAATTATTATCATCATCATTATTATGTTTGAATTTATATTTGGCATGCATATTAATTATAACATAAATACTATGTCAAATAATCTGGCTAAACCCTTTAGGGTCTCGAATGTGAGGACCGTCGTTCCGACGAGACTCGGTAATTTCATCGACGCTAAATTCTAATATTAATTTATTTTTTCAGTTTTAATGTTAAAAAGTTTTGCGCAAAAGCAAAAACACTCAGATACAGGTCAACAACGTGACAGTGTGAGCACGGAAAAGTATTCCTGATAATATTATGGTAAAGTAAAGTTGTTGTAAATAGGTTGAAGATTATTTCTACTCAAATTGTCCTTTCTTTTCAAACATGTTTTGTATCAAAGAGAAGTATTCATGATAATATTATGGTGGCATAAGAAACGTCTGATAGTATGCATAAGATGAAAGGGAAGATGATTTATTTTGTGATTAAAGTTGATTTAACTAAAGTAAGGATGACAAGGGGACGGGGCGGGGGTGGGTTTAACTATTCACGCACCTGCACTCGCCTCCATGTAACACACCTGCCCCTACCCCCAAACCCAACCGGGGGTAAAAATTTACCAACCAAACTCGCCCCTAGTAGAGAACGGGTGCACCCGCCCTGCCCCCACCCACAAATTTTTTTTAATTGCAATAAAAATTAATAATTTAATTAAAAAATTAATTAATTATTTAATTAGTAAATAAATATTAACTTGATTAATTTGATTATTTTAATTGCAATAAGGGCATTAATAATATAATTAAAAATATAATTAATAAATAAATATTAAAATAAATAAAATAAGGGAGTTAAAGTAAAATGCATTATCCGGGAGTGGGGCGGGGGCGGGTGCGGGCGGGTCTTAAGTTCTTCCCGCACCCGTAGTTAAGAACCGAGTTTCACCCGCACTCGCACCCAGTTAAATCGGGTTTTCTCCGTCATCTTTGGGTGAGTCCGAGTTTGTTTGACATCCCTAAACTAAAGCATATGATATGCTAAAGTGACATTTCATTGAGAATATCTGAAGGATATGAGATTTCCTTTAGAGCTAATCACTATTATTATGACCTATATTACAACTTTGACTACTAATATGAAATGTAATATAATTAAATCAGAGTTTTTCAAACCTCACAGAGGTATCAGACAAGGTGAACCTATTTCTCCATACCTATTTGTTATTTGTATGGATAAATTATCTCATCTTATTTCTCATAGTGTGGAGCAATGCTTTTGAAAAACTATAAAGGTGCGTATAAATGGTCCTCTCATATCTTACTTGATGTTTGCAGATGATTTTTATTGTTCGGTCAAAATATAGAGGTTCAAATGCAGTGTGTGCTCCATATTATTAATCAATTTTTCCTATTGTCTGGTCAACAAGTGAGTATTGATAAATCAAGCATTATTTTCTCTAGAAACACTTCTGTGTGTATTCCACGTAATTTGGCTGCTATATTTTACTTCTGTGAAACATAATTGCTTGGCAAGTATCTAGGTGTCCCTTTTCTCGGTAGAGCACCTAGAAGATCTGATTTTAATTATATTCAGGAGCAAGTTAAGTCGAAGTTCGCCTCTAAGAAAGCTCGACACATTTCTTTTGTAGGTCAAATAATTCTCTCTAAAGTTGTTACTAAAGTCTTTCCTATCTATACTATGATGACTACTTGCATTCCTAATCCTTATTTGCATGTGATTCAAAAGTTACAACGTTTTTTAATTTAGGGTGATAACGAGGAGCATATAAGACTTCATTCGGTGATACGTGATGTGATGACGCTTCCAAAGTTCATAAGACGATTAGGTATTAGACGATTCAATGTTATGCATAATGAGGTTTGATTTAGATCATAATTTTGATGTTTTATAAGCGAGTTCTGACTTAAATTTCTATTCTTTTGTTAGCTGATTGTATTGGAATCTCTATTTCTAAGTTGATTGCTATATTATTTTTTTTCTTTGAACTTTGACCCATCTTTTCTTTAAAAAAAAAAACCAACAACAATTTAAATAAAATAAGATGATGAAAATTACAATTAAATTTATCTTATAATTAAAAATATTTAACTTTTAAAAAAATAACATCATTTATGTAAAACGATGACATGTATTGCACTTAATCATATTTATACTTTAAAATTATTTTACAGACAAGATAGACTTTGATTTTTATTGAAAGAGTGCGTTTCCATATAATTGTTGACCCAGACATTTGAGTGTCTACTATAGTTAAACCCTGTTATCAAAAACAGAGATTCTCCTCATCTTGTTTCTCTTCTACCTTTTTGTTCCCAATGGTAACCCTTTCGCTTCTGCATAATCTAAACTTCGTCGGTCTCTTCAAACCTTCCACACACCAAAACCCTATTCTCTCCCACCAAAACCAAAACCCTATTCTCTCCCACCAAAACCCTATTTCTTCAATCTCTCTCAAACCTTCACCCCTCCGCTGTTCAAATTCCGCCAATGTTCTCGCTCCATCTCCCTCACCTCCGATTCGCATCAGTCGCTGGATGAAAATCGAAGCGAGACGTGGCCTACTCGATTACCTTCACTACACTCAATCTTACACTTTCGTCGACGCATATTTTATTTCCCATAACTCTCCACATTTCATCGATTCGCTTATAGCCAGAGTCGGAGTCAACGACAGAGACGATGAATTTGCTCAGGATCTCAAAAGGTACCTTATGAGTCACCCTATTAATGAATTTGAACCCTTTTTAGAGAGTATAGGGATTAAACAAAGTGAATTGAAGTTACTTTTGCCTAAAGACGTGTTTTCTCTTCGTGATGATAGTGTTTTGGTTGATAATTTTCATGTTTTGTTTAATCACGGGGTTCCGAGGAATACAATGGGGAAAATTTATAAGGAAGCAAGAGAGGTTTTTGGGTATGGGAGTGGTGTTTTGTCCAAGAAATTTGAGAATTATGAAAAATTGGGTTTGAGTAAATCATATCTTGTCAAGCTGTTTGTTTGTTGTCCATTGCTTTTAGTTGGCGATGAGGTTGATTCTCAATTTGTTGTTGTTCTTGATTGGTTGAAGAGAATCGGGATTGATAGTCAATGGTTTGTGAGTTGTATGAGTTCTAAAAGAACATATAGATGGAAAACGATTATTCAGTGTATAGAGTTTCTTCATCAAGGGGGATATTCTGAGAAACAAATGTATGATTTGTTTAAGGCGTATCCGAGATTGTTGTTGGAGGGTTTAGGAAAGAAGGAATATTTGGTTATAGGTCGGTTGATTAAGTTGGGCCTTGAAGTGAATGAGATTTGTTCTTGTTTTAGAGAGCATCCTGATATGTTGTCAAGTCTGCGTATGGAAAATTTGAGGCTTGTGATTGCTTTTTTGTATAATATTCAAATGGAACAAGATGCCATTGCTCATGTTTTGTATAACTACATGCATCTACTTAGCATACATTCAATAAAAGGTTATAGAACGATGTCTAAAGAGTTAGGAGTTGGAAAAGATAGCTTATGTCAAATGATACAGGATGATCCATTAGAATTTTTTACTTTGGCTTTAAGACCGAGGCAGAAGAAGAATGTAAATGAATTCTACAATGACCCGCATAGGCATTTGGAGAAAACAAATTTCTTGCGGAAACTGGGGTATACTGATAACTCTGAGGAGATGGAAATAGCTATGAAGATGTTTCAAGGAAGAGGCGATAAGTTACTAGAAAGATTTAATTGCTTGGTTGAAGCTGGTTTGGAATATAACACTGTAGTTGAAATGGTAAAGCAAGTTCCTTCGGTTCTAATCTTTAGGAAAACTGTAATGCAAAAGAAAATTGATTTCTTTAAAAACACTTTAGGTTATCCAATAGAACATCTCGTGAGATATCCAAGATATTTTTTCCAGGATTCGGACAAAACTTTTGCAAGATTTGCAATGTATGAGTGGATGAAGGAGAGAAATGGACTAAATCGTGAGTTATGCATGAGTACGATAATTTCAACTACTGAGAAACGGTTTCTAAAACTCGTTGTGAATCGGCATCCTGAAGGTCCAAGAGCTTGGCGAACTATAAAGAGTTTATCTAACAAATTTGAGAATTAACCGTACCTTATAAGTTTAGTTGAGCTGTAAATTTAAATACAAGCTTGGCTAAACCTTGCACTTACTTTGGTTTTGTTTAAGGTTTATTTTCTCATCTGCTTATTGTCACTTAGTTTTCTGACTTAAAGAAATAATCTTAGTCTATGTTGCCAATAGCGTATTATAGCAGAATATTGTAGCGGTAGTAGGCCTAAGCACAAAGCTATTGGGTTGTGAGCTGCTGTCACGAATATCGTTTGTTGCGGCCCAAACTGCCGTTGTGTTGTTATTATGGTTTTGGGGCCAAAATTTTCAGAACACTTGTATTTTTTAAGCAATACATGTTAATTGGCACCCCATTTAAGGGTAAAATTATGTTCTTCATTTTTAATTCAATTCTGTTATGTCTTTTTTCTCTCTATGTAAGTTTATTGCTTGGGTTATTTAATTATATTAAATATGACTGTTTCGCTCATTTTGAGTATTTATGTTAACATTTACACCAAATTTTAGTCCATGCAAATACAATTTTCAAGAACAAATTTGAGTACCATACTTTCAAATTCTGAGAAACGGTTTCTAAAACTCATGTGAGAAGTTGAGATGGCTAACCTATAAATAGTTTATCTAACAAATTTAAGAATTAACCGCTCCTTATACGATTAGTTGAGAAGTTGAGATGGCTAAACCTTGCACTTTGGTCTCATTTTGGTTTTGTTTAAGGATTATTTTCTCACCTGCGTAATGGGAACTAATAGTTTCCGATTCAAAATAAATAATCTTAGTCAATGTTGTCAATAGCGCATTATAGCGGAATAATGTAGTGGTAGTAGGGTTCAATGCGAAGCTATTTTGTTGCGAGAGTTTCTCAAATCCCCTTTTTCAGAACCATTGTATTTTTTTAAGGAATAAATGTCAATTTGCACCCCATTTAAGGGTTATATTATGTTCTCCATTCTATAATATTCTTACTCACAAACAATTGTTTTGTTATTCTTCTTATTTTTAATTAAATCCTGTTATGTCTTTTCTCTATTTAAGTTTATTGCATGTACTTTGGGTTATTTAATTACTAAATATGACCGTTTCTTTAATTTTGGGTATTTTTATATTTTGAGTATTTATGTTTAACATTTACACCAAATTTTAGTCTATGCAAAATACAATTTTCACCCTCTAAAACATAGCTTTAGATTTATAAACTTGAACACAACATGCCACCTATATATATATATATAGAACACATATATGAAGATGAATACACAAAGGAGACCTATATATATATTAGTCCATACAAAATGACTAATTATTCTAATTATCAGCACATTTTATAATGGACGTGCTGTATTAATATTCTTACGCAGATATATATTTATACACACACATTGACACGCAGAAAATCATATTAGTGAACATCTAAAAGTAGTGAGATTACAATACATAAATTTCCACAATACTTTTTATTCTAAAAGCTGAGCCAGCACATGCTCCACCACATACTTTGCAACAATACTATTCGTTTTCTCCGTGGGATGAAAAGAGTCCCAAAACACAAATTTGGAAGCATCAGAACAACTGAACATGCTGCCCCTGCTGCATGCATAACCCATCTCGAACATTCCAGTAGCACAACATGCTACTGAGGCTGATTCAAACCCTGCGATCGATCAAAAGAAAGACAAACCAAATTAATAAGAATATGTTCCATAAATGTAATATGTATAGAAAAGTGGTAAACTAGATTATCTGCTGCCGTAGCATACCGTAGAGTTCAGGTTTCTTTATGATGTGCAACATGATGTGATATGGATTAGAAAACAACAACTTCATTCCAGGGAGCTCTTGATTGAGCTTAGTAGTTATATTCTGGAGTTTACCATTGAATTCAAGTGCTACGTTATTGTAGCTTGCAACACAACCATTCCGACCCATAAAATTTGTAGTTCTCTCCAATGGTAAGCATCCCATGGGAGGTAACCCTCCAAGGGAAATCTTCCTAGCACCAAGACCATAGAGACTCCTTATGAAATTCTCTGCAATTCCGGCGAGAAAAGTTTGGTACTGTTGAATTGTGTATTGTGATGCCCTACCAGGCATGGTATAGTAATTCTCTAGGAAATCATTTGTTCCAATACTCATAAGGTGTAATGATTCAGAAATGCTCTCTTTTGCTTTGGTTTCACCAAGATATGCAGTTAGATTCTTTTGGTATTGTTTGTAGTACTCTAATTGCTTCCATAATGGTATCACACCCTGCATCAAATATCATATAGTTTGCATTATTATTAGAGTAATGTAGTTACTCGCAGTTTTCCTGTGGCAAAACAAATAATAACCCTATTTCACCAAAATCTAATATGAGATTCTATTTGGCCTTAGTTTAACTGTGATAACTTTTATGCCTTGTGTAGTAGTTTGTCTTACCAGCTCTTAAAGAAGGTCCTGATTATTATATACGTTAGCAACTAGTTTAGATCATAAGCTAGATTTAAATTTATTTTTTCAAAATTTTTGAAACAAGAAAGTCATTTTGATTCTCTTATATGAGAGACAGAGAAACAGAGAAATGGCAGTGGCAGAAAAAGAAATGGACTGTCTAGTAAAATGGAAACCAAGAACTTATAGCAGGATCTAAGATTTTTGCTATAGTAGGAACAAATTTGAAAGACAATATGAACTTACTAGTACAGCTGAAGTTGCATTATCATAACCAGTAGCAGCAGAAGCAAAACTGACACCAGTTGCAAAATCTGAAATACTATTCTTAGGATCCAAATATGCAGGGACATATTCTTTTATACCAAAAGCTTCTGATATGAAATCCGTTGGTATTCTCCCATTTGAGAATCTTCCGGTCGCTTTTCCCCCTAAAAAGTCACGTCCATACGGTTGAAAATTGCTCCGTGCAACCGTGGGAATGAAGTTGTTGTTCCCGGCATCAACGGAGGAGTCGCCAAACACAATAATTGCCGGAACCTTTGCATTTGCCTTGATCAAAATGAGACAGAAAATGTGAAGTGAAAATAATAATGCTAGTAGGTTTGATTGCAATTCCATATTGTGTTGGTTAATTTTTTGAGTACGTGAGTATGAAGAGTGTGTGTGGGTTAAAGAGGTGTGACTTGTGATAAAATAAATATTGGTTAGGAGTATAGTAATGTATATTTATGGAAGTTTGATCTTTTGAAAATTGGGTGAATAAGTTGTTGGGTCATAAATTGCCTAGACAAACCCGTTTTGCGGTGGAAATGTAAGTTTTTCACTAGATTTAAATTAGAGCAAATTTTGTTTGAAGATATAAACTTAGATATACTTTGCATGAAATTGTAGAGATTGATTTTTTGAGTTAGCGAGAACCACGTAAAGCTTTTTTGCAAGAGAAAATTAGGGCACCTTTCATATATATTTCAATTTTTGTTAATAAATATAAATTACTCAAAAAGTTAACAAATTTAGATATTAATAAAAATGCATAATCTAATATAATTATTTTATATTAACTTGAGTTGGCTGATTTTGATAAGTTAAAATTTTTTTTAAAATTTAGTTAACAAGTAGGATTCTATATTAAAAGATGAATAAAATAGTAACTCATTACTCAAAACTATTGGTACAATTTTTTTATTTTAAAAATTTTAGCTGTAACTTTCATACACATTGGATACTAAGAATTTAGTTACAAATATTATTCCTAAAAAAGCACTTAGTTACTATCTTAACTGTATTTATGATATATTTATGGTAATTCTCATTTTGGCTTAGGGACCTATTAACTATAACTATAATAATTAAAATGTCTATGTAATAAATGAACCGAATAATTTGTCTAATACTGATGAATAAGTACCTTTATAATTCTTTTGCACTCCTTTACACAGTTTCACTTTTATTTCTTCATTAATAAATAAAAACTTTCTACGTACGTGTAAAGCTGAGGATGGTTCGACGTGACAAACCATAAATAAGTTGGTGAGTTTTTTCGTCAACAAAAAAAAGTTCGTCCGTAAAGTCACCCACTTCCATACTGCATGACCTCAATCTTCTCCATTCGCATTCATGTCAAATTCGTGCACACATTAATAGATTAGAAATTTTATTCTGGGTTTCTTTTTTTAGAATTTTATGATATCTTTAGAGTTTAGTTAATAATTTTGAAGTAAGAATTAATTAAACTTTGATTGTTTGAGTGTTTTCTTTAATAATTTAAACATTTTATTGTTTGGAATTATTGTTTGGAAAGTGGTTAATGATGGAGAAAACACATTGTTTTAAAAGAACATATGGCTTTCACGGATCACAACTCTCTTTGTGATAAGTTTAGCGAACATGTTAAAGTTATCGATAAAGAATAATATTAAATAAAAAAGTTTAATTTATGTGTTTATAATTAATTATTTATTACAGAATTGTAATCAGTTACATATTTAAAAAAATAATAAGAAAGTTAGCGTAACCGATTACACCTTATTTATAACTCATTACACCTTATCTGTAATCACGCTTCCCTGTGCCACCGTGATATCGTCTACAGTCCACCTGAAGATGAAGTACTACACGATCAGAGGTCGGATCGTCACCCTCCACGGGGACATTGAGGTGTCCAGAAGATGCTTCGAGACGGCGCTCAAAGGGCTCAACTCGATCAACGTCCCCACCAAGTTGACCGGTAGGCCAGCTCGGACCGAGGAGCAGAAGCCACTCCCTCACGTCAACGCCGTCGACCTCGACAGCCGTTTCTCTAGCAAGCAGAAGCAAAACACATGATCTAAAGACGCGCACCCAATGGACAACGAGCAGTTGTCCCACATAACTCGTCCCATTTCAGACGGAGACTTTGAGCTCATCACGCTCGGAGACAACCCAGGAAGAAGCGTGAAGATTAACACGCGACTCCCTGACTTGACGAGAAAGCAACTTAAAGCCTGCCTCTGGGAGAATGCTGACCTGTTCGCTTGGAGCACTGCGGAGATGTCCGGCCTCGACCCCGACGTAGCATGCCACAACCTCACCATAGATCCGGCCGTTAGGGCCATAGTTAAACGTAGGCGTAGGTGTTAGATGCCCAATTTTGCTTATTTGAGATATTAGATGTGGGCATCTTTCACTCCGTTTTGTCCAGAAAGTTTCAAAATTGCCCTTGCTTTTGTTTAAGTTGCAATATTTGGTGAAATGAGCTTGGTACGTTTAATTTGTGTGTTAATGTGTAGAAATCAGGCATAAAAGAGTAGAATTGGAAGACACAAGAAAGACGACAAAGGAATCAAGAAAGAAGGCAAGCAAAAGCAAGCTCGCTAGGCGAAGCTCTGGCGAGAGAGGTAGCAAGTTGTTCGCTAGGCGAGCTCGTAGCGAGCTGCTAGCGAACACTCTCAGACTTGGACAGAATCAAATTGATCATATTTCGCTAGGAGCGAGGCAGGTAGCGAACTACTCGCTAGGCGAGCTCGTAGCGAGCTGCTAGCGAGTGCTTCCAGAACCAAAAAGCCCAGAACTCGCTGGAGCGAATGAGCTAGCGAAGGGCTCGCTAGGAGAACCATTCTGCTCGCCTAGCGAGCAAGACAGGACAACACCTTTTTCCTTCTATAAGTAGCAAGTGCTACTTTTTGTAAAATATCTTTTTGCTGCTTCTTTTCAACCACTTTCCTTTGTTTTGCTCCAAGAGAGATTTTTGTGACCTAGAAACCCAATATTTCATTTTTCTTCATCTCTTAACAAGATCTTTCAAAAAGAAGGTGGATTCCCATCCAAACTCGATTCTTCGACTCAGATGTTGATCAACCTTCTCCCGAAACTTCTTGTGCAAGCTACCATGAAAATGAGTAGCTAAGTCCTTCATTTTGTCAAGGTTAGATGTAGATGATCATAAGCTTTGTATATAAATGGGATGATCTTCATTTGTAAACTCTTTGATGATGAATATATGGTGAAAACTTTGTTTTATTGTTAACTCTTTGTGTTGGTTTATTATTGAAAGGTATTTTCCAACTCCTTAGCTAGGTTTTCATCCATCTATGTTCTTAAGCTAGAGATAGTCTTGAATGTGGTTGTTCACTAAAATATCAAAACCTAAAAGTTGTCATTTTGATAGATTGTGTGAGAAATCAATAATGGATCAAAATGGGAAAAACCACAATGTGTGTTAGAAATAAACACATTGAGAGGATATTGTGAATGCGATTATCATCTAACGGAGTTTATTAGTTCTGTTGATCGAACATATACATGCAAAGTGATCGTTGAACCCTAACTTTGACAATATTTCTCAAATCGTAAAACCAAAACTTTTACCACAATTTATTACTTCTTTTGATGCAAGCTACCGTAACGAAAAACTAAAACCCCCCTGTTACTATATGTTAAGAACTTAACAACTGTCGGACGGCGACAATATCACAGATTCCCTGTGGAGACGATAACAAACCCCGATACTTTACCACTGTCTTAACAAAATGGCGCCGTTGCCGGGGAGTTTGAATTGATATTGCGAGCATCGCAATAGTTGTTGAATTTTTAACTTGTGAAATTTTGACTTGTGCTTGTTAATTTGTTTGGTTTAGTGTGCAGCTTTCGTTTTATGCGAGGGCATATTCCTGAGGACCAAATTCTTTTTGATCCTGAGATCGAAAGAACCGCAAGGAGACTGAATAGCAGAACAAGACGGAGGAGGCAACAAGCTAGACAACGACAAGAACAAGGAGAAGGTTCTTCTACAACACCACCACCACCTTTCACACGTATCATGGATCCACCACCACCACCGCCCATTTCCACACCATGTGTCAACAGTCCGAGAAACACTGCTCAGTATGCCAACCACACGGGAAGGCAAGCCGAGATGAAGACGGGAACTCTTAACTTGCTATACGGAAGTCCATTCACCGGAATGGACCATGAAGACCCCTTTGCTTTTCTCACCAAATTTTACGAGATAGCATTGGCGGCCGGAGTTGATCAAGCTCAAGAGCTACCGTTGTTCAAAAGACTTTTTCCTCATGTTTTGCTCGGCAAAGCCAAAGATTGGTACTTGGATCAAACACATGCAGTCATGACGGATTGGAACGTGTTGGAAGAGAAGTTCATTGAAAGATTTTTCTCCCACAACCGGTTCATGGAATCCAAAACGGCTATCTCCGTGTTTCCGTAAGGAGCCAACGAATCATTGAATGAGGCATGGGAAAGATTTAAATCCATGCTTCGAAAGTGCAAAGGTCATGGTTTTGACGAATTGACGCAAATCCACATTTTCAAAAACGGCCTTCAACCAAATTGTAAGACTTTATTGGATGCCACTGCAGGTGGTTCTTTGTTGTCTAAAAGCGCCGATGAAGCTACTGATATCATTAACCGTATGGCTCTAAATGACCTCCAAAGTCAAAGTAGAGGCAACACTTTGAAGAAACCGGAAGTGCTTGAACTTGGGACAAACGATGCTATTCTTGCCCAAAATAAACTCATTTCACAACAAGTTGAACTCTTAACTCAACAAATAAAAGAGTTGAAAGAGCCTTCAAAAGCTAAACAAATAGCTTGTTGTGAGCTTTGCAAAGGTGAACATGATACCGGATTTTGTCCACCTCCCGGGTTCGAAGAGGTGAATTACATGGCGAACCAACGAGACTACCAACCGAGGCAACAACAACAACAACCGTATCAGCAACATCCTCAAAACCAAAAACAACAACACTATCAACCAATCAAGGGTACCAACCAAGGGGTAACTATCACATAATCAAGGTTATAGGGGTGGTAATTCTAGCCATCAAAATCCTTATCAACCTCAACAACCGCCGGTCGTGACTTCAAAGTTAGAAGAGACATTGAGACAATTCATGCAATTGTCAATGGCTAATCAAAAGAGCAACGATACGGCAATCAAAAATCTCGAAACTCAAGTCGGTCAACTTGCTAAACAACTAGCAGAACAACAACCCGGACCATCTTTTTCGGCGAACACGCAAACAAATCCAAAAGAGCATTGTAAAGCGATAACGACGAGAAGTGGAAGGGAGTTGATTAGTGAGAGTGAAAAAAGAGATGAGAGTGAAAAAAGAGAGAATGAG